TGTGAAGAAGTAAAACCTTGCATTGAGTGAGTTTGCCAAAATTAAATTTTTAAATTATACATATTTAATTACATATAATAATATTAGCAATCATAATAGACACTAACTCGGGTTTATTATTAATCCTCTTTAGTAGATTTCTTCTTAAAATACAACTGAATAATTCTTTCATGTTCATGAATGAGGCCGACATTCTAATTAAAATTGAGTTTGCCTCCTGATTTAGTCAATATATGAGTATCATCATTTTATTCATATTTAATAAGTTGGTAGTAGTAATTAAAAGGTAACTAAACTTTTAGGGGATTTGATATTGAATTTACAAACATAAATGCACAAGCAATTTTCATGAAAGGCCAGTTCTTGAAAGATCTTGCACAAGACCTATTGTTTCTTTGTCGGATTGTACATAAGTTATTTTGTTAACGGTTATAGTCTTCGCTCACTTAAGAGATCCTTGGAAACAAGGTTTTTCAATAGTGATATTTGCATTAAAGGAACTAATTACGAGTATAGATGAGAATGACTATTATGGGATACTGAAGAAAATTCTTAAAGTAGAGTATCCTGCATTACTAATTAAGAGAATAGTATTGTTCAAATGTGATTGGTTCGATCCTACACCGCAAGGAATAAGGGTTCATCCATGGTACAAACTTGTGGATGTTAACTATAAGAGAAGCTTAAACAATTACAAATCATTTGTTTTAGCATCACAATTAGCTCATGTGTATTATGCCATATACCCTAGCTTGAGGTGTAGGAATCGAGATTGGTAAGTCGTTTATAAGATCAAAGCTAGGTTTGTGTTTGACTTGCTTGATTCATCAGCTACCATCCAACAAAATATCAAATTATTTCGAGTAAGACGATCCGAAAATCGACACAAATTGATAGAGGAAGTCGAGGATATTATTTTGTTGAATGATCTAAATGGATCATTTGTAGATATAGAAGTAATTGTGATTGATGTAGACGATGAGAATGAGTATGAAAATGAGTCGGATGACGGAGATGATAACTTAAACAATGATTACTATAGTTCTAATTAAATATATATTTTATTTTTGGTATTAGTAACAAATGATTTTTTTTGTTTCTTTATTTGTTACATATAGTAAATAATATCGATTTTGATGCATCTTCAAAATATTGGTTGTGTATTTTGATTGTATTGTATTTAAAATATTTTCTTTATCGGGGAATTAGAAAATATCTAACTTTGGGTTTTTTTATTACTTCATACCGATAATATTTTTGTTATGTTTTGTTTAATTGTTTAACCTTATATAATTCAACAATGACTCGTGATTTGGTCGACCCTCTACAATCACTACGGGATCACATTTCGATAATTGTGGATGAGTATCACTATTTGATGGCAGACTCATTAGGATCTTCCACTAGTATCGGTTGAGGATCTCCGACTATAGAAGTTTTACGTAGGTCTCGTGACTCATGTAGCCATGAAGGCGGCACATCGACAATGGCTCCAACCATACGAGAGTCACCTCTCGAACAGGTTCTCGCACCAATACCAAAGGTTCCCGCACCTATATTGGAGGTTCCGGTATCGAAGCTAAAGGTTTCAGCACCCACCTTAGACGAGTGCACCATCCGTCAATGTATCCGGCATTCCGGATGGTTCCCGCAGCTCCTCTAGTTAGCGAGCATATTTCTATCACTCGAGGACGATATGTAATTAGTTCAATTTGATGTAATTTTTTTTTATTTTAATGTATCATTTCAATAATTTCGATCGTTTTTTAATCTAGTTTTTTTCTTTTGATGTTCGTTAGTTTCACTTAGCCTAGTAAAGATTATGCAGCGAAGATAACCATGACTTTCAAAGAGTGGTTGGATGTCGATAGATCGACATAGAAGTTTGTCTTGAACCTCACTAAACAATTCTACTTCAATGAATTTAGGGTAACGCATTATTAATCTTTTTATAATTAAAATATAATTTTTTATTAAATAAAGTTCTTAATATTAATTTTTTTATTCATGCAAAAATATTTGGATTAGGATTCAACCATCGAAGTGCTTGTTAGAAAAGCATGGGAGGCTCGGCAAGAAAGCACTACGCCGACTTCATCTCGTTAATATGGTTTGTTGGTCGAATGGCATATTTTTATTAGACAAAAGGTTTGGGATGTGTGAAAACAAGATTTTGCAAAACCTCGCTCGCAAGGCCCATTTAGAGCAAGCATTGCGGAATCGGTTGTCGGAGACTTGTGGCCCTAGTCCGAGTCCTTTTAGGCATATAAAGGGCTTCATCTTTTCGAAATAGCACGCACATCGCTTGGTAAATTTTACACTTTTATTATTAATTACATGTTTCAAAAAATTTAAATTTTCATCTCATATTGCATTTTTTAGGAGGTAAGATTGGGCCGTGAGCCAACAAATTTTGAGTTGTTTTAGATGACTCACAAGCAACAAGATGGTTCTTTCGTCAATCTGCGCTCTTAACAAACAATGGTAAGTGTTTTTCAATTTTAAATTTTATATATACAAATATAATCTAAAATTTATTTAGTCTTTTAATGATATCATTATTTTGATTAGGTAGGAGCGTTTTAAAGAGCTCATACAAGTAGTTATTGCAATGTAGTAAGTGAAAGGAATCTTGGAGATAGAGGTTGACAAGAATGCCATATACCTCGAGGTTATAAAGGAGAAATGGTATAGGCACACAAACGATGCATTATCCGTCCTAGTTAGGTGGCGAGCAGCTCCTCCTCTATGTCGTCGCATTATACCGACGACAATTCTAATGAGACTTGGAGGCGGTACGAAGAGACAAAGGAGGCGATGAAATGGATGCAAGTCAAACAACACGAGCTTCAAAACCTTGTCACGGAGTAGCATAGTACCATACATAGGCTTAATTCTTAGTACGAGACAATGGCCTCTATGTTGATTAGGTTGATACAAATGTCCGGGTTGCCTATAGATCTCTTTACTAGTTAGGAGTCTATCGTTTCTCTCACTCGACTCCCACCGAGTCTCGGGAGGAGGATAGGGGATAAAACGATCATGATGACAATTGGGAGTGACAATTCATTTTTTTCTTCCATATGTACCATTGAATGTTTTTTTAATAGTAATTTATATTTAAATTATATGTTATTTTTCCTAATTGTTAATTACTACCGAGAATATTATTAATTTAAAAACGAGAGAAACAAAATGTAAAAAATATTAATTTTTTAAAATATAATGAGCGATTGATTGCCGATGAATTTCCACGTTGATGGCGATGGAGTTGCGACGGATTTCTTCGACCTTCAATGACGACATAGCAACGGATTCCATGGATGCCACTCGTTTCGGATATTAGCGACGACACATCGATCGTTAAACAATGATGGAATAAAAATCCTTAATACGGTGGTTTGCGGCGACCGATTTAGCAACGAAAGTTTTAATTTTTGCGACGAAAATTTTGTAGCTATAATAGCAATGGAATGTTTTTCGTCGTCGCTAAATTTAGTGATTAGCATTTTAGTGATGGACATAATTTTTGTCGCTAAGCGAATTTAGCAACGAATTTGGCTAATTAGCGACAGAAAAATCCATCGCTAATCGTCACTTTTCTTGTATTGACAGAGTTAAAATCAATGTGAAGTCAGATTTGGGACAGAGTGCTATAGGGGTTGTTCTGAGGGATGGAGAGGGGTTTTTCTTGGCTGCAATGACGAATGTTTGGCTTTCCATTCTGATGTGCTTAGGGTTGAGTCTACAGCAGCTGTATCGTGGTGAGATGTGCTCATGATCTGAACATTAAAGAAGTTAAAATTGCTACAATGTGACTCTTTACAATTGGTGTCAGGTAATTTGCTAGTGGAAACTAAGGAGCTGCTACAATCCTTGGAATTTTCTTCAGTGACTCATATACTCACAGATGTTGTAATCAGCTGTTGGCTCACTTATTTGCTTAATATGCCATTTCTTGTTCCACAGATGAGGTATGACCCACCTTCCTTTCTTCTCCAAGCTTTGCCTGCTGATGTTGTAGTCAGATGTTTTCTGGGAATTGAATATTGCCCATCCTGCCATAGCCGTAAAGGCCGGCGTTGGGATGGGATTGGATCTATCTGACTCATTGTTTCTATAACAAAAATAATATATTCATTAGTGGACAAATTGTTGGGATGACGATAACCAAGTCATTAGCAACAATTTTAAATTAAATTAATGTGCCCCCACAGTATTTTCCTGTTTCAATTCAGGTAGGATCACATTTTGGCAATGCAAATCATAGTTTAAAACCAATGAAAAGTTAAAAAACTATTCATAATAGCTATACTGAATTGTGATTTATTATAATATTAAAATAATAATAATAAGATATTTTGAAATTGGTTATATATATATTTTAATGATGGTTATTTAAAATTATGATAATAATAAATTTTATGTTTAATTAATGGCAATTATGATTCTTTTACTAATTGTTTACTTCATCAACATTTTATTAATTGTAATATATATATATATATATATATATATATATATATATATTTACCTCCCAGAAAACATTGATTCTTTTTTCTTTTTCTTTTTTCCCTCACATTTACAAATATTCTCTTTTCATCTCATCGAAACTTTAGAAAATTTCTAAAACTACGACTGATTAACTGGATGTATATATAAGGATTTCAAAAATACATTCTTCGTATTAATTTTATATAAGAATTAAATCATGAAAATGAACAGATAAAAATCAGTTGGTGAATCCTCAGAAGAAATTTTTGAGTGTTTTTGCGTTTTATTTCCCTTTGAGGTGGACTGGTTACATAACAGCCTGACGTTCCAATAGTGTATTGACAAGTCACTCAATTTCCATCACCGCGAAATAATGTTATCAGGACTCTTTCTGATTATCGTTATCCACGTCGAAGATCGCCCCTCCTTTCCTTCTTCCTCCTCCCTCGTTTATAACAAATTCTAATCATTTCAATCACCGAAGCTCTCTTATAATAGATCCGAGGATGGATCCAAACCCGAAAATCCACCCGATTCTCTCTTACGTCATGTCCCGACTCCCCTCTCTCGGACCCAAACCTCCTGAACCCTCCTTCGACATCGAGCAACCACCACAGCCATCACAACAGCCACTACAACAGCCACCATTTCCCCAGTTAACCGACCCAGCCCTCCTCTCTTCAATGAGACACGCTGTCGGCGATGTAGGCCAAACCCGATCGGTACTCCAAACCCTAGGCCCCCGACCCGATCACGAAACCGTGGACACGGCGAAACTCAAACTCATTGAAATCGAGACCAATTTGTCGAGACAATTGGAGGATCTTGTGCTTTCTCCGCGGCCGAGTGAGATTGATAGATTGGAGTGGAGGGCACATTTGGCTGAGAGAGAGAAGAAGATTCGAGAAGATGCGGAGAAAGAGAGAGGGTTTTATAAAATGGTGTTGCAATTGGATGAAATGCATGAGGATTATGAGAAGTTGTTGAAGGAAGCGGAGGAAAAGTTGGTGAAAATTTATAAGAAGGCGGAGCGAGGGGGTGAGGAAGAAGAGGAGGAGCGAGTGGAGGTGGAGGAGGAGGTGAGTGAGGAGGTTGTGGGAGTGTTGAGAGAAGGGAGTGCCAAAGGGCTGGAAAGAGTGGATTTGTCGAATCGGAGGCTGAGGTTCTTACCTGAGGCTTTTGGGAGGTTTGTGGGATTGAAAGTGCTGAATCTTTCCAATAATCAACTTGAGGTTAGTTTTGTTTTTCTATTTAGTGTTTAGAAATGTAAATTTGGGTTTCTTGAAATCTTTTTTGTGCTGTCAATTAATTAGATTCTTTCTGTGATAATATATATTTTTAATGTACGAGTTAATTAGATTAGAGTGGAGGTGTGATATAATTTGTTTTGGTACTAAGGTGAATTAAGAGGTCTGAATTTGTTGTCAGGATTGAAGAATTAGTAATGTAAAAGGATTTGCGCTTTTTAATTCTGTCATTGAAAGAAAAAAATGAAATCTGAAGACGTGCTCGAATTGGAATTTGCTAATCAGGAAAAGTATTTTATTTTGGCAATGTATACAAGAATTTCTTGGGTGCTAGCTATGCTTCTGATATGGGTTTGTTTTGTTTTAAAAGCAGTGCTGGTGCGTATTGTTGGTGTGTTTGTATGTTTAATTGTTGATGAATTGTCTATTTCGGTTATATAAATTTCATGCCATTTTCAGAATTATTTAGGCACTTGAAGTTGATGGCTGAGTATTCCTTCAATATTTTGCAGTTGGTACTGTAGGATTCACCTTGCCATTTATGGGTTATGTTAATGTGGTTAGTTCTTAGTATCTGACAGTTCTAATGTCCAAACCATTTCCATTAATGATCATACTGGTGAGAATGCATAGGTTTATTTGTAGTGTAGTTTAGGGAGAAAAAAACAATAAATTAGCATAATTAAGGCTAGAAACAAGTAGGATAGTAAAGGCTGGAACTCCATGTAGAAATTAGGGTTTAGGAAAACCTCCAGTTTATGAAGTTTATTGGTTGGAAACAATTATATGATAGCTATGAATCTGGCCTTAAAACTTTTTGCCACTTTAATATTTATGAATTGTACAATGCGAGTATGAGATTTGCAAATCATTGAGAACCAACTTGACTTGTTAACTGCAATATGTAATTTCTCATGTTTGTTTTGCTTCATGGTCGGATATTTTTATTATGTTAAAAAAACATAGTGTTGTTTGTTTGCATGTGGGGTAGTAAAATATTTTCTCTCGCTGTAGCCCAAGCTGAAATTTTGATGATCAACCTGATAGTCTAATCCCGTTTTTTGAATGGTTATTACTTGTATTATTTTTTTCCCTAGTAGCTGAGTAACCTTTATGAGTGAAACAGGTCATTCCTGATTCAATAGCTGGGTTAGAAATTCTTGAGGAGCTCAATCTTGCTTCAAATCTCTTAGAAGCACTGCCAGATTCAATTGGATTATTGCAAAACCTGAAAATCCTGGATGTCTCTAGCAACAAGATAGCAGTCTTACCTGACACCATTTGTCATTGCAGGTAATTCTAATTCATTACAATTTGTTCCTTTGACCAGAAATCCTTCGCATTGGACTTTACTATTCATCAATGGTTCAGATCATTGCTGGAATTGGATGTGAGCTTCAACCGCCTGACATACTTGCCGACTAATATTGGATATGAACTGTTGAATCTTCAGAGGCTCTCGATCCAGTTGAATAAGATTGTTTCACTTCCCACATCTATTGGTGAGATGAGATCTCTGCGCCACCTGGATGCTCATTTCAATGAGCTTCGTGGCCTTCCTCTTTCTTTTGGGAGATTGACAAATCTTGAGATCCTCAATTTGAGCAGTAATTTCAGTGACCTGAAAGAACTCCCTGAAACTTTTGGTGATTTGACAAACCTCAAGGAACTTGATCTCAGCAATAACCAGATTTCTGCTTTGCCTGATTCATTTGGTCGGCTGGATAATTTGACCAAGCTCAACTTGGACCAAAATCCTCTTGTAATTCCGCCGCCAGAAGTTATTAAGGAAGGGGTTGAGGCTGTGAAGATTTTTATGGCTAAGAGGTGGCTTGACATACTGGTGGAGGAAGAAAGGAAGAGCATGCTTGAAGTACAAGAACAAGCACAGGCTGGATGGTTGACACACAGCACCTCATGGTTGAAAACTTATGCTTCTGGTGTTTCTGAGACCATTTCAGGAATCTTGAGTCCGAGAAGTCGTAGAGATCCTTATCTTGATCAGCAGCTATGACGTCCTGGTTTCTGACATTTCAAGATCCATTTCATCCATTTCTTGACAGCATGTACATTTGATACGATTGATGAGATGGGTTGCTTCTGCTTGCAATTACTTTCATTCGATGTTACAACAATGCCAACTAGAAAGAGTTGTGAGTTAAACAAATTTTGTTCTTCTTCCAGTCCGTCCTATTCTGGTTTTGCAAGTTTTGCAGCACAATAAATAGGTAGATTCATGGCTGCTCTGTTATCTAAACTTGTCATTGACATCAACACATTTACAGTAGTGTATCGAATTGTACAACAGTTTCTCTTGCTGCTATTCATTTTGCTGTTAAATAGCACGGAATGGAGTAATGTTTGTTTTCAATACATTTACAGTTGTATATCGAATTGTAGAACATTTTCTCTTGCTGCTATTCATTTTGCTGTTAAATAGCACGGAATGGAGTAATGTTTGTTTTCAATACCTTTACAATTGTATATTGAATTGCACAACATTTCCTCTTGCTGTTAAATTGCACGGAATTGAGTAATATTTGTTGTCAATACATTTACAAATTGTACATCGAATTGCACAACATTATCTTTTGCTGCTATTCGTTTTGCTGTTAAATTGCATGGAATAGAGTGATGTTTGGAAGTTGCTTAAATATCCTAGAACGTTCTTGGAAATGCACACAAGCCTTAGTAGTTGATCTAGTAATCTCTTGATAACACTTCTAGGGGTGGGGGGAATTCCCAAGTGCCACTCCCTGTTTAAGAAAGGCTGACCCATACAAAATTTGTATGACGGTACACCGGCCATTAAGTGAACTTGACGGTTTGGATTATATCTTGTTATTCTGTTGATAGCGTACTCAATGGCTTGGATTACTTGCAATGGAGCCGGTTTTAGGTGGACATTTTCTCTATCAACAGCTCCGCATTAATGGGAGATAATTCCACATTGGTCCCCCTTTTAACTCGCTTAGAACACATGACGAGCAACATTCACAGGACTTTGATGATATAACCCTGCTATTAACAGCCAACACCACTGCCAAACTGCCCACTCAAGCTCCACATGACTCTTACTCATCTTGCTATACTGATACGTTCCAATTTCACAATCAAAAAATAGTGATGAATTGACAAGTTTCTATGGTGATTCAAAGGAAAATGTAGTATGTAATCAATGCAAAAAAAGTATATGCAAGAATCAAAACCAGTTTATTAGAATCAAATTGAGTTGGAGTCACATAATTCAAAGAGAAAACAAAAAGATTTACATAGGAAATCAGAGGAAGATTGAATGCAAAAAATAGAATGGCTCTTCCCGTTTCTCGCTCTTTGATTTATACTAACAGTTCTCCTAGCAACTTTCTAATTGAATTACACGTGGCTAACTAACTTCCATGTAGGATTGATTACATGGCTAACTACTACCCACGTGCGAGTCTTCATATTTTCCCAGCAGCCTCTAGGCAATCTTCAAGCTATTTCCCATTATTTTCCCAGCAGCCAGGCAATCTTCAAACTCCCCAGAAGTGTTCGTAACATAGGAAGCATGAATTCACCTCCCTCATTCTCGTTCATGCTGCATCTGTTTTTATCTTTACAAAACCTTGTGCTGGCAGCTGTCATTGAAAATGAGGAGCAACAGATGTGGCTCAAGGTCCAGTGCATGTTTTGGCATTCTCCAACTTGTAGTCACTGAGGAGTGAGAGTGCCTATTGGACAATCATAGGAGGATCACTGCATTGATTTTCAAAAATCATAAGTTGTTTGCATACTGATGCGAACCATTTTTCCAAGGAAGAACTAATGAATGAAATCACGGATTCCGTAACAATTCAAGCACAATACTATATATTCAATGATGAAAATCTTTACCATGCAAGAAATCAATGGAGTTACGAGTTGAGAACAATGGAAGAAAGAAGAAGAAACTAGAAACAAAGAAGAAGCGAGAGAGAGAAGAATGTGCGAGAGAGAAATATATAGAGTTTGCCAAAATATCTAAATCGACTCTTCCCATCTCCTCTCACCGATCTTAACGATAGTTGTTTCGTTGTTGATCTAACTAATTAGCCATGTGGCTAACTACCTGCTAGCTAATTAATTGCCGGCTAAGCTAACTGCCGCCACTTCGACTAATTAACTCACGGCTAGCTTTGCCTTTCATGTGACTTTTAATGAGCTCACGTGCCTTTGACTTCGATCAATCTTCAAGTATTCTGCGAAACTTAAGCAATCTTCAAGGAGTTCTTAGGCAATCTTCAAGTTACCTAGAAGCTTACCCGAAACGCTTCTCCCTTTAACCATTCATAACAATACTCCCCCTTAAAGGGCCTTGTCCCCGAGGTCAAATGCGGGGAAACGTCTAGCCGAGTCAAAAGCAAACTCTCTAGTGGCCTCCTCTATAGAACCATTAGACCATTGGACTAACAACTTCGTAGTAACAACATTACCCCTTCTAACCACTTTCTATCCAAGATGGCCATTGGATGCACATCTTCATCCACGGATGCGGGTAGGCTGGGGTTGAATAACTACATTGCCAAGAGCGAGGTTTGAGTTGCGACACATGGAATGTAGGGTGAATTAAGGAACTCGGTGGGAGTTGTAAGGCATAGGCCATCTCCTCAATTTTGTCCACTATTTTGAAAGGCCCATAGAACTTAGGAGCCAACTTCGACCGAACCTAGGAACAACGAATTGCTGCCTCTAAGCCCGAAGTTTCAAGTAAACCCAATTCCCACTATTAAATGTCCTCTCCGATCTCTTCGGTCGACTTGCATCTTCATACGGTTTTGTGCCTTCAATAGTTGTTCCTTCAAAAAGGCCACCACCTCCTCCTTGTCCTGCAAGAGCCGATTCACTTACTCTTTCTTGCAATCATTAGGAAGATAGGGAAGGTGAATTGGTGGTGTGTAGCTATACAAGGCCTCGAAAGGTGACTTGTGGATGGCGAGAATGGTAGGAAGTGTTATACCAAAACTCTACCGGACACAACCACTTAACCTATGCTTTTGGAATAGAAGAGCACATACACCTTAAGTAAGCTTGGAGGCATCTATTCACCACTTCGTTTGGCTATCCGTTTGAGGATGGTAAGCAATAGAGAAATGAAGAGCTATCCCTTGATATGCAAAGAGCTCTTTCCAAAACTTGCTGAGAAAGAGAGAATCTCTCGTCTAATATAATAGTGTTAGGCATCCCATATAATTTGAAGACATGTTCCATGAATGTTTGAGCTATAGCTTGAGCATTGAAAGGGTGAGCTAGTGCCATAAAGTGTGCATATTTCGTAAGTCGATCCACCACCATAAACACCATTGACTTACCTTGAGAAATAGGTAGAGCTTCATGAAGTCCATAGATATGTCGATAAAGATGGCGATAAGGAGAGGCAAAGGGTTTAGCGGACTAGAAGTAGCAATATTTTCGTACTTAAATTCCCGACATATTTTGCACTATCGAACATATTCCCCGATTTTCTTCCACAAACCCTTCCGAGTAGAATAAAGAAGAGACCTTCTTACTAGTCCCCGTAATGCCGAATGTCCCCCGAACTCGAGTCATGGCACATGGAGATGAGTTCCTTGTGTAAGGCACTATGCTTACCTACCACCGAGTGCCCCTTCCTCCTCGATTGTTGGTTCCGCCATCCGAATTTGGACTATGGTATCCCTTGTGCCTTCGCTTAACTATGCTATGAGAGTCTTCGGACTCGAATGCGTTTCCCATGTCTCCTTGATTCGGCTCATAAGGTACAATGGCTATTGAAGATACTGCAAGAGCCAAAAGATGCACCATAAATAAGGCATCTACCACTTGATTCTCCTTGCCCTTCTTGTACATAATATCATAGTCATACCCCCATCAACTTAGTTAGCCATGCAAAATGACTAGGAGTATGAACATTTTGCTCGAAAAGGTGTTTCGGACTTTGGTGGTCAATTTGAATGGTAAAGTGCATGTTCATCAAGTATTGGTGCCATTTTTTAACGACAAAAAGGATGGCGAATAATTACCTTTAATACACGGATAACGCTTGGTGTTTAAGGGCGAGAAGCCTATCGATGAAAGTGATAGGGTGCCTTTTTTGCATCAAGACGACCCCAATGCCATTTCCTTATACATCGGTTTCAATGGTGAATTCTTCATCCTAATTGGGCAATGCCATTACGGGGGTAGAATTCATGGCCTTCTTTAGCTCCGCAAAGGTCGTTTCAACTGTTGGAGTCCACCCGAATGCATCTTTTTTGAGCAAGTCCGTCGATGGTTTTGCAATTCGCCATAGCCTTGCACAAACCTTCTATAGTAACTCGTCAAGCCCAAAAAGCCCCTCAATTGCTTAAGATTTTGAGGTCTAGGCCACTCTCGCACAACTTGAATCTTGCTTGGATCGGTTTGAACTCCTTCCCTAGATATGTAGTGCCCCGGATATTCCACCTTTGGAGTGCCAAAGGTACATTTGGACTTCTTGGCAAACAAGAAGTTTTGTTTTAAAATAGTTAATGCAATTTGTAAATGTTATGTATGCTCATGAATGTTTACTGCTGTAAACCGAGTATATCTTAAAAAAAAAAAAACCAAAATAAATTTTTGAAGGTAAGGCCTAAAAACGTCATTCATGAGTGCTTGAAATATGCTAGGTGCATTTGTTAAGCCAAAGGGCATAACCAAGTATTTGTAATGACCACTATGGGTACGAAAAGTTGTCTTAGGAATATCAATACCATGCATTCCGATCCGGTGGTACCCGACCCTCGGATCAAGCTTTGAAAATATCATAGAACTATGTAGTTCATCCAATAGTTCTTTGATTATGAGAATTGGAAAGTGGTCCTTCACCGTAAGGTTATTGGGCTTCCTATAATCAACACATAACCTCAAAGGATTGTCCTTCTTAACCATAACCATCTGGTGAAGAGAAGGGACTAGCACTGGTTTGGACTATTCCCCCATCCATAATTTCTTGCTCTTGTCTCTCGATTTTATTCTTTTGAATAGCATGGTATCCGTAGGGTTTTATGTTCACGGGTTCGGCTCCTTCCTTCAACAAAATTTGATGGTCATGTAACCTATGAGGGGTAATCCCTAAGGCTTCTCAAACACCTTTACAAATACTCCTAGTAAGGCCTTTAGCTCCTCCGGCACCCGGTCGGTAGCTTCGCCATCAATATCTCCTTAGCCCCCTCCTCATATAGCATTTGGCTCACTCGCACCCAATTCGGTTGTTGTTGCTTACAAATACCCTTATCAAACTCTAATTCTTCCTTAATTTTGATTAGTTTAGCCTTTCTCCCCTTTAAGGTAAATAATTCTCCTCCCACCATAAACCTCATCCATATATCTCTAAAGTTCCGGGTAATATCTCCCGGGTTATACAACCAAGCTATCCCCAAAATCACTTTATACACCCCCAAGGATTTCACAAATACTTTAGTTTCAAATTTTACCCCTTGCACCCTCCGCTGGAAATTTTTACACATGTACTCACAGATCACATCTCCTCCATCGACCACTTTCACCGTAATAGGATGAATCTTTACTAACTCACGGTTATTCTTTTTGGCAAATCTCAAGTCCACAAAATTATATGTACTGCCCGTGTCAATGAGCATAGTGACTCGTGTAACCCCTAGGTTACCCACTACCTTCATTGTTTGGTAGTGCTCACCCCTCGACACCGCATAGGTCGAGATATGATATAACTTCAAATTGGACCCATCGACACTAACCTTCTATTCCTTACTACTTCCCTCAACACCAAACTCTTCGCGACCTTCCAATTCCTCATCGACTTCAATCTCCAGCACCAACAATTGTTTTCCCTTACATCCGTGCCTTGGTGAGTATTTATCATCACGAGTAATAGCATAACCCATTTAACCTTCTCTCATCTAGCTCACGGTTACTATGCGGTTTCCTTGTTTTGAACATTGAGTTGCCATTTTGAAATTATGGAGGTAGAGAGAGTAGACTTTTTTTGTTGTTCGTTTGTGGTTTTGGTATGGGAGTTGGTTTTGGGATGGAACATGGTTGTCATTTCGGTATTTTGAGTGTAGTTAAATTTGTGATTATTTTGGTAAGTGTTTTGGTTGGTTCTCGGGTTGAATGAATGAGTGAATTTGGAAGGAATTCGTTGGGTTGGTAATGGTTAATTGGATTGGTTTCTAGCAACTTATATAAGGAAACGAACTTCCTTTAAGTTGGTTGGTTTCATGACCCTTACCGAAACTTGTATTTCGGGCCTCGGTCCCCTATAAAGCAATTAATGATGTACTCCTCGAGCAGCACTAGCTTGTTAACCACTCGAAATGAACCTTTTCAAATAGGTTTGCACATTAGTTTCATGTCTTAACCCCATCAATTCCACCATCGGATCACTAAACATCATATTTCCAATCCTTACACTCATAACCTCCACATAGTCACTCTATTTAATCAAACTATATATTCAATACATGTGTACATACACTTGGTGCCATTCTAATGTCTCCTCCTCCAAGTGAATAGCTGCTATAGTCACCTTCGCTTCTTCGGGCGTTCGTCATACATGAAGAATTTTTCACATCTAAACACCCACACTTCAAAGTCTTCACCTACAAACTTAGGAAATTCTACTCTGGACACTCTATTAAAAGATTGATATCCATACTACTCACCACCGAATCCACCCCGATGACTTCCACCATTATTACTAGCGAGTAGTAAATCCAAACTCGGGTTTGTGAAAACCTCCCCTCACATTATCATTCAAGCACTGGATTCGGTTTAGTGTTATGGTCCATTCCTTCTTCTAAACCATCCGAACCTCTAAGTTCTTTTTGTGCTTCCCTCAATGATACAAGTTCGAGCCTCATGCTTTTCACACATAATCGTCAAATTAGAGCACTTATCATTAACATCGGAAAGTACCTAAGATATTTGAACCATTGCCTCTTCTAGCCTTTTCAACTCCACATTCATTTTTGCCATGATTCTACCGATTTCGGCTCACGAGTGCCAAGATATGCTTTGATACCACTTGATGCGAACCACTTTTCCAAGGAAAAACTAATGAATGAAATCACATATTCTATAACAATTCAAGCACAATACTATATATTCAATGATGAAAATCTTTACAATGCAAGAAATCAATGGAGTTACGATTGAAAACAATGGAAGAAAGAAGAAGAAACGAAAAACAAAGAAGAATCATAGAGAGAAGAAAATGCGGAGAGAAATATACAGAGTTTGCCAAAATATCCAAATCCACTCTTCCCATCTCCTCTCACTCGATCTTAACGAGTAGTTGTTTTTATTGTTGATCTAACTAATTAGCCATGTGGCTAACTACCTGCTAACCAATTAATTGCCAACTAAGCTAACTGTCGCCACCTCGGCTAACTAACTCACGACCGACCTTGCCTTTCAAGTGACTTTTAATGAGCTCCCGTGCCTTTGACTTCGATCAATCTTCAAGTATTCTACGAAACTCAAGCAATCTTCAAGGAGTTCTTAGGCAATCTTCAAGTTACCCGAAACGCTTCTCCCCTTGACCATTCATAACACATACCCGAAAAAAAAAAAAAATAGCTTCCACAATGGGAAGATTAATGAATTTAGAATAATATGTCTATCTTATAATAAACATGGTGTCTTCTGTATCCGATCCCGAGGTCGTTTTGCAAGAAATCTTAAGTTTGTGATGTGTTTGAAGAAACGTTTGTATCCCATTCCAAAACTCCCTTAATCACAAGAAGGTGTTTTCAAGATCAGAAGACAATGCGTGTTAGTTGCTAGTGGAGTATAAATTAGGGTTAAAGATAGGTGGGTTGCAGTTTAGAAGCTGCAGGTTCAGTGGTAATAGCATTAGCAGCATTCGTTTATTATGCTTTCTATCAAGTGCCCAGCTTTGTCATTAAACTACCACTGACTAGCTGCTAGTGTGTGTAAAAATGTTGAAGATGCTCCCAGTCCTAGGCCTGGCATTATCATGCTACAGACAGTTAGGGAATTTTGCATGCCCACCATAGGCAAGATGGTTGGTGGAGGGACAGACTACTCCACGGCTACATGTGATGGAGATTGACCAACAAAATTACTGCAGTTACTAATATAATAATTCATCCCTATACTTTTTTTTTTTTTTTTTTTTTACCCCAGTTGAGTAAAAATCTGCACTATTCGATTAACATTAATGGAGTATTTATTTTTTCAGGCCTTTTTTTTTCTTTTTCTTTTTTTTTTTTTTTTTTTTTTTGTTTGACCCCAGTTGAGTAAAAGTCTGCACTATTCGATTAACATTATTGGGGAATTTATTTTTTCAGACCTTTCTTTTTCTCTTTGTTGAAATAATTTTTTGAGGTCTCTTTTTTGGTGCTCTTATTGGATGAAGAAGATCATGGTATGCTGCTAGAAAATTTGCATTTGGATGGAGCAAGTGAGTGGAAGATATCACACTTAAAACATGTTTGAATCCTGGGCCACTCAAGTTATACCTCAACGGAAAGTCGCCATCCATAAAAAGATCTCTACGTTGGAGAGTTCAAATTCGTGGCCCTACTCCCTACTCCCAATGTACCAATACCCCCTAATATCAATCACTCTCGTCTTCAATGATTGATTGTGAGTCTTCGGATTTCTTTATCAAAATATTTTTGAATGAAGTATGTTGAACTACCCATGAATGTTAACAAGCAATGGAGAGGGACGACAAGATTTACTGATTTCAGTAGCAATGAGAGAGATCAAATTGGTAAACAGCTCATTTTAACTGTAGCAAAACATGATTTTTATATCATAGCAAAGCATAGCCACATGGACAACTTTTTGGGGAAAGATGAACGGTTTGAAATTTCTTCCTTCTTTAAAATTTTGGGTACATTACATCCGCAATCTCCCGTCAAAGGAAATCAAGTTCAAAGACGAATTCCCATTTTGCTGTCACCACTCAACCATGAGCATAGAAAAAATAAATCAAAACTTAAAATTAATTTGGAAGAGAGCCTTTCATTGCTTCTTTTGATCATTTGGATCATTAAGTGATCAGTAAGGCACCTAACATTTCCTCTTCTAGCAAGATGACTTTCCATGGCATTCGATGATACAGATGCTGTTGACAAAATTTGAAGGGTAATACTGCATAGATCTCATGAAAATCAACGAGTGGGTCAAAGGAGAGACGAGTCCTTTCACGGTAACTCAAAAAGAAAAACAAAGACGGAGAAGGAGAGACGAGTCCTTTCACATCACATCATGGCCTGCTGCATCTTCAGACTCTTGACGTTCGGTAGGGATTAACTCCCCAAGTATGAAAACTAAATTACAAAATTGAAGTAAAGAACAACAACTTTACACGCAGATGTCTTAAAACCTTCTCAAAAGGTTGCCCTCTGCCTTTCAGACGCATCTTCATTCTCAACCTGATAGAAAGCACCAAAAACAGTAATAAGTGCACATTTTTGTCTGTTGTGGCACACATAAAAAGGTGAACAATTGAAAGGTGATACGTCAAAGTCACAACAGTTTCTTAGCAAGAAAATTTATAGTGATATAAATTGGATTTTTTTCCGAGAAGCTGTGCACAAATCAACACTTTGTCTCCTTTAGAAAAACATGATTGACCCATCCAATTTTTGGTGCTGGGTTTTTTACAGATTGGAGAGCATCTGAAATAACCAGTGAATTACAACTGTATTGTACGGCAGTTGATGCATTGGTCTTTGCAGCCTTGATGCTTTTTTGCTGCTAAAACTAACCCTGATTTCAACCTTAAAATTGGCTAGCAGTGTTTGCTAAAAACCAGAGATGCAATTGCTCAGTGACAGCTGATGCAGCTTACAAACAACAGGGAGGTAGGTGAGTGATATTCAAAAGTTTCATTCATAGTTTGACCACAAACGATTTGCATGTCATGCCAATCACAGATTTCGAATTTTACAGGTCAAACCAGTCTTAAATTGGAGTTCTCCATCCCATTTAAAAAAAAATTATAAAAAAATAGTTGAGATCTTTGATCACTAACCTCAACCAGAACCCTTGCTTTCTTTTTCGACTTTCTAGATTCATCTTCCTCCACCTTTCGATAAGCAGACTCTGATCTTCTCTTTACCTTCTTACGATCAACTGTGTCCATCTCTTCTTCATCCTCAGGTCCATCATCTGCATAATCATACACATATAATTCAAACTTGAACATTTTGCGTCACATATATTTAGGCATGTTGAAGTTTCAAGCCTGTTAATAACCAATTGAGATCACAAGCATCAGCATAGTAACATCACATGCTCAAGCAAGCGCTTGTTTTTCAGTAAAACAAAAAAGTTAATCAATAGATCGAGCATTCACACTTCTCCCAATTATTGTCATGTAGCATTGAATTTTAATGCAAAAAACTTTAATCACAAGCAACTTTCAACAGAATCCATATAAACAGAACTTTATATAGCAAGTACAGAAAACAGTGTGCATGCGTGGCAGTGAGCTTGCAGTAACTGGGAAAGGGGAAAAATCCACACCACACCATTTATAAACACAGAAAAGACTTTACCATTATTCTTGAGAGATTCATCAATTGCAAAACCACCAAAATCTTCTATATCATCTTCCTCTTCAAGATCATCATAGCCTTGAACATATTCTATTTCAGGTTCCTGCTGATTCATAAAGTTCCTCAATATACAAAACAGCTTCTAGTGTTACACAACATTAACTACTTCAAAATTACCAGAAAAACATACCACTTCATCTTCATCCTCTTCGCTAACAGCCTCCAGTTCCTTTTCGTCAAGAATTTTGTTGAAATATTTTGGCAGAATATTATGTATGTCACCATAAAGTCCTCCATTGAGTCGTTCAAGCAACTCTTTCTCAATACTCTGTTGAAAGAACTAGTTAGAACTATGTGAATCCACAACATGGTTGAGACAAATATATCAAAGGATGGAATCATAACCTTATCCAGTGCTGCAGCTGTTTCAGCCTTTTTCTCCCTTCTAGCTTCTCTCTTTATCTCTTTTCTAGGTGTAGTCATTATCTTCTCCCTAGCAACAAAAATTAATGCAAAATCAACTGAAGAGGTAAACAAGATCTCCCGGGGCTTTGGAATTTGTCATTTGGGAAAATCAGAAAGAAAACTGGAAATGAAAATTGCATCAAATAGGAACGTAACCATAAGAAACAACCAAAATTCCACAAATTATCAAGTTAAAACCTTGGTCAGAAACATGTTGGCACATGTCTTGCGGAAGTTTCATAGCATCTCCATCTCGACAGTTAGGAATTTGTTCACATCAAATGTGTAAAACATCTATACTGCAAATAAAACACTATGACCACATCCAATCACACAGTTCTCACTCTGAGCACTGTTTCTCTTTTCCATTTCCAACATGGAACCCACCTGTGCATCACTACTATTGTTCCATCAAAGAAGTAACAGATAGAAACTAGTCACTGGGCCTTACAAAGTCGAGCATTATTGACAAAAGTAGGCCAGAAACTAAATGTGCGTTATAGTTACAAATGAGCCATGCCATGCAAAAAGCTATGTGGCAATTTTAATGAATCGGTCTCACTAAACTTGAACCATGACAAATAAAATGTATAAAAAATAAAAGAAAAAAAAAACAGAAGCTTGCAAATTTAGTTCGTAAATAAACTCAACAGCAACCAATTATAATGAACTATCCTACAGTAAATGCAGTAAACAATTATTAGAACCACAAAAGTTGTCACACAAAATAAATTAATATTAGAACAGAGGAACAAAAGAAAGGCAGCTGCAAAACCTTGTTTTCAATGCCAGCTTCCTCATACGAATACGCATCTGAGTCATTTTTGTCAGACGCTGTTTAGCTTTGTGCACAAGAAACTTTGGCCAGTACATCTTCAATTTCCAAAGAATTTACAGATCAACAATAGAAATGGAATAAGTTTTGGTTAAAAAAATATGTAAACACAAACAACATCAGAATACAGATAGAAATGGAATACCAGATGCTTGTCTATGATTTCAAGTGCCTTCTCATAGTTTCTCGGCAACTTTACTCGTTCCCATAACTCATTGGGCTTATGAGCTCTCTCAATAGTCTTCATATATAAATAAAAGACACCTGTTCAGAACCACGCGGATGTCTAGTGGTCAAAAGCAAATTCATCATCTAATTCTTGAAAACTTGAAAGCAAATCTAAGGAGTAGACTAGATTGTTAAATTGTAACAAACAAATACTCAAAATTAGATAGGTATCTACGCAAATCACATCACCTGACCAAATAGTATATGTAACCAACTAATGCTCACCTACAAATAAGATCAAAATCTCCACGAGAGCCTTAGAATCCCTTTTAAGTGGCTCAAAAACCCAACTCAGGATTCAATCCCGAATCAGCTAAACAAATAACTGAACCAACTAAATCCTCATTAACAAGCCATTTGCTACTAAAAGTTCTATTCCAACAAGCCTCCCAAAACCCAGTATAAATTTCTAATTTTCAACACAAAAAACAAACAAATTTATCCACAATCACTCATCCTCACTACTTTTCTCCCAACAAACAAAACCAGATGAGAAAACTAAAAAAAATAATACATAAGATAAAAACATACCATCATGATCACGGATAGTTGCATAGCGACTATTGGCAAGAGGGCAAGAGCTACGATTACAAACTCCAGTTATGTTATATGGGTTTCTACAAAAATTCCCAGTTGTGATTCTACAATAAAAACACCAAAAAAATAAAAGCTAATTAGAATCTAAACCGATTCAAACCTTACTATATGCTTGAAAAACAATAAAATTAAAAAAAAAAAAAAAAAAGGGTTTTACTTGGCCATAAAACTGCAGTGATTGTGCCTGATAACTTGCCATATGACCTCATCGTGCTGCATCTTTCTTTCTCTTCTGAATTACTACAATTAATTTATTCGACAAAAAAATAAATAAAAAGAATGAAATATCCGACTTTGGCCTTTGGAGGTTTAGGGTTTATGTTCTGTCTGTGTCTATCATTGTAAAGCTACCAAAACCTAAAACGGCTGCCGTTGCCGTTTCTTCCTTTTCTTTCAAAAAAAAAATAAAAATAAAAAATAACAACCGTTTAAGGAACGTGTGGGGTCCACATACCATTGCCTACTGTCTAGGCAGGGGAAAAAAGTGCCTTTTTATTGTTTTTAAAATTTCTTACTTGCCTTTGCAGGTTTTATTTATGTCTGGTTTTTAAATTTTTTTCACTTATCTTTGCAGGTTACTTAAACGCATAAATTTTTTCAATTTTTAAAAAAATCTGTACAAAATTAGATAAATAAAATCATCCATTTTTCTTCAGATAGATATATATATATATTATAAAAAAATTGAAGTAGGCTTGGGTGGCATAGGCATACATCTAGCCCAAGCGCTAGGCTTTAGGTTTGGAACTCAAGCCCAATTCAAGACAATTCAATAAAAAATAAAAGTAAAAGGTATGAAAATAGAAACCCTAAAAAACCCTACATTACACCTGTAAATATGTCTTCTTCTAATCCTAGCAAACACATTCAGTACACATACGAGGCACTTGGCAAAAAAAAAAACTCTCTTAAGAAAACTCTAAAAAAAAAGATAGCAACTAACAACCAACTTGCCGACATAATCTCAAAATTTTCCGACAAAATAAAAAAAAAGCAATCAATCCACATAATGATGATAATAAAAAAGGTAGACAAACTCACGATGAACTTAAAGAGAAAAAAGAATGCGAGAAAGAAGGAGCATCACTAATCCACATCGTCATAACCCTTAGCGAATCGCTACTTCGACGCCTTACGCCGATGCATGTGAGTGAGTGAGGGAGAGGATGTTGCTCGAGACGAGCCAACACGCTCTAATTCCGGTTCTTTAATTGTTTTTCAAAGTAGTCCCTACTTGTTCGTTTCCTCCGCATTAGTCCCTTATGTTTTCGAATTAGGTAATTTCATCCTTTTTTATTTTTATTTGATTTTATGCTTAGTTTTACTATGTGGTTTTCTATGATTTATTTTCTTTAATTTGCTTTATTTCCCAAATAAAAATATCTTACATTTTAGGTTTAAAGGAAAAGGAGCCTAATTGAAAATAAGTGAAATGTAAATCCTCGATTGTATACTTTTTTTATGTATCCGATCGAATGAATTAAGTTTAGGTTTAGCCTATATGGAGTAGTATTAAGACTTGAGACCAACTTCATTCTAATGACGGGGCTTTTTATTAATCTTATATACTTATTTTCATTTTATTCTTACTTTTATTTATTTGGTTCGAAATTAATTCTCTCTTTTTTTTTTCTATGCTACTAACTTTGTATTCTTGGAGATTTGGGCTACAAACCATCCGTGAGTTTTGGGAACTAGTCATTTTTATTTTAAATGGTTTGGCATATTGATATAGGCATAAGGCCTATATTTATATTATTCTGAACTTTTATTATAGACTTTTTAGTTGTTATTGTATGGTTTGATAGGAGACTTGAGCCTAAGATTCATAATGATTTTATTTTTATTGTTATGTATGGTGTTAGGGTTTGGCTATCCAATTCATTAATGGACTTCAAGCCTTGTTATTTGTCCTTCTAATTGGATTTTGATAGCCTAATGACCAACTAAAGCGAGAGACCGGGCTTTATTTCCATCGCTACTTGACATTTTGAAGGCTTCTAAAATAAAAAAAAATAAAAATTGATTTGTTTGTTTTTTAGGGCATGAGTAAATAGATATTTTGGAGTCGTCACTTAGTATTAAAAAAAAAACTAGAAAATCAAAAAAAGACATTATATTCAAAGATTGCAGAGTTAGGAGTTGATTATGTTTTTTGAAGATATCAATCACCTAAAAACATCATTTTCGAGAAAAAAAGTATCATGTCCGATTTAATCCTAAAAATATATCTTCGAAAAATTCATTTTGCCAAATTATTTTTTAAGTTTATTTAGAAGTTTGTCTATTGACTATGTCAAATTATTTTTTCATTTTCTATTGTGACATCGTATTAAATTGACATCGAGCTTTGAAATCGATATTTTTTTCAATTTAACATCGGATTCAATCAAGTCCCGACATGATCGACATGTCAAGGAACAACTTAATTACTAATGATATCTAACTTATAATTTTTTCAATTAACTTTTTGGTTTTGTTTCTTTTTTCAATATCAAGGAAAACGTTCATCCCTATTAAATAAAAGATTTATTCAATCAAATTAAATTCCTTAATTTTCTTAATATATTTTTTTAGCATGATGAATGTGATGAAGGATCGTTATCAATTATTAGAATCTAGTGAATGATCATACATCCTATGGAAGTGCGGAATAAACAAAAATTTTGTTCTTCGCAATCTAAAGTCCTAAGATTAGTTGTTCAAAATACTAACTAAATATTAACAAAATGGATCATATGTTATCTCTTATACTCGTAGAATCAAATTTACTGGATGAACCGTCAAAGTGTCTAGTCTCTAGTGATGATTCACATAGCTAAACACTCACATAAGAAATAGTAGAAAGATTTAGAATTCTAGCTTGATTTTTTTTGCTATGTATATTTTTCCTCACAAGAAATCTCTCAAAGGAAGATAGCACGGTTTCTTTATAAGGGAAGGTGCCGCAATTTCTTTCTATTCGTTGAAGAAATTCTCTCTCTCTCTCTCTCTCTCTCTCTCTCTCTCTCTCTCTCTATATATATATATATATATATATGGCCGTTTCTCCTATTCGGTCGGTGACTTGTATCTTATATGGTTTTGATGGATCTTATCCTTAAAAACTCGAATTAGGGTTAATGAACTTTTTTCTTAAATTTTCAAAAATACCCCTCCATTGAAAATACCCCTTGTAAGCTTTTACTTAAGTCTCGTTTGCCCAAACTACTTTGTCCTAATAACTCAATAATTAATTTAGACAATTCAAATAATCTAGGTCGGGTATTTTTAGGAAATAATTTCCTAAGTTGCCCTTGCAGTTTATTAAACCTAAATTAGAAAACTGTTTTCATTTTAGGAAACTAATTTTCAAAATAGGAAACTGATTTCCATTTTAGGTAACTAACTTCCAAATTAGAAAAATAATTTCCAAATTAGGAAACCGATTTCTAAATTAGAAAACTGATTTCTAAATTAGAAAAGTTTTTTCAAATTCTTCTCTTTTCTTTGTCCGTGTGAATGTTTAAACTTATACATGTGACTTAATAGGCTTCTATATATGTTGGCAATGTATTGAAAAATAAAAGATACTTTTTTATCTCTTGATACATATATCAAGATTGACCTCTAGCAAGGCATCATGACTACTTAATTATCCAAAAGGATTACTTAATCCACAATAACCTTTTACGAGTATGGTTTTCATACAATTCGATCCTCATATCAATTTATCATTGTGTGATCTCAAACTTAGTTTGTTGTCTATCCGATTATGATTACATAAGTTTTCTTTGATGTCCGAATGTCTTAGCTTTCAAGTAAACCAATCATGCTCTATTGGTATACTTCCACTCGTGACCACATATTCTTAAGTAGACATTCATCAAAATCTAATGTGATAACTTATTTAGTAATATAAAGAATGACATATCCTATCTCAATTATCCACCTATCTCCATTAGATTCTTGATGCACCCAACGAGTCACCCACATATAGCTCTCGACTAAGCCTACCGAAATGAATATTAAAGTACATCAATCATCTAATGAGATAACCATGATAACCTCAAGTCAAATGGCTAATTGTACCCTTCTTGTGTAAGATTTCTATAGACTATAGCAAATAGGTTCTCATGGTGAGCTAATGCTTAAAATACATGTGTTTAAATTGCTAAATTCCTCTACATTTTAATATTTTGAGATATCCAAATAATAAACCTTAACTATTTTTGTATTCTATGTGCTAGGATATAGAACTGATTGAAAAATGACGTTAAAAGAATCATATAAAGAGAATTTACGATCAAAACCAATTCGACCACTCGGAAAGCACAAGCAGCGTGGGCACGCGGATGCGAGCGGACATAGATGCACAAGCACAGAAGCGTGGGCACGTAAGAATAGTAGCGTGAGCACGCGGATGTAGTAGATAGACTCACAAGGACATGAAGACGCGGGCACGCCGTAACTTGACGCGTGCATGCCGAAATCTGTAGAAACGGACAACGGACTTCGAAAGAAACAAAATTTGTTGCGATTTGCAAGAAAAAGACATCATCCTACCAAAAGAGGAGAGAATATTATGTACCATTTTTGAGAAATAAAAAACTCCGTATAAATAAGAACCTAGCAGACTAGGACGGATAACTTTTGATTTATTCTTCATAGTATAGGCGGCTTTATTTTCTCTCTCTCTCTCTCTCTCATGTGATGGTGGTCGCCATGAGCAGCTAAACCCTTTTCCTTTGTGAAGGTAATCGAAGCTTTTGAAAATCAAAGATTTTGAGGTGCTTAAACATTAATACAAATCAATTTGTTTATTTCAAGTATTAAACTTTCTTCTATGCTTATTTTCATGATTATTTAGGTTAATTTCTAATGTGTACAGTTAGTTTATTAACTTAGATAATCTATAACTAGATCGAATATTGAATCCGTAATTGTTCGATCCCTTTGATTTATGTAGCAACTAGGAGTGTATGGTTTATCGCATCGAAACTAATGACTCTTAAGAGGATTGTTCAACTAGATTAAATGCAACTACATGTGTTGTGTTGTCTTGCTTTGTTGATCTTTCTAATACATAAAGCCATTGTTTGATTAAATCTTAGATCGTATCTAGGGTTGTTAAATAATGAGAGTTGATTAGAATACATATTTCTAGTTGGCTAATCGTAAGGAAAGATTGATTTCATTATCATAACAAATATTTGAATGAGAATCGATATTTCTTGCAC